GTAAATAAAAATTAATTATGGCTTTAAGCTACAAACATTCAATTGCTTAGAATATCGACGTACGATGACGACGAGTGGGTTTGCTTCTTTTTCATTAGGGCCCTCTGCGGTGTGTACTCGCTTTCCTCATTCGTGGACCAAATAAATTTAAAGCGGAGGAGATTTGAAGACAAACAACGTACGTACCAACCTTAAAAGATTCTCGGCGGGCGCTTGTGGAGGAGGCCACTATTTGATTTTGTTTTTTTTTTCATAGATTAAAAATAAATTTGTAGAAATTGTTAAATAATAAATCTAAAAATAATAATTTTCATTTGATGTAAGCCTAGCGGTTTCATTATGAAATCTGCAAAGTAAGATAATAATATTTTTTATCCAGTGAACTGCTACGCGTATGATTCGGGTTCTGAATTCATTCACATCACACAGTTCTTTGCCGTATGTTCAATTTATATAAATTAATTTTTTTTCCGCAATAATCTCATTTACGTAGATTTATTATTATAAAAGTACTCCAACATTGCCTCAATTCATTCACAGGAAAAGGACTCTTGGATTTTTTCTACGAATTCATTATCAATAGTAAACACATTTTTTGAACCCAACCATGGAATATATCTTGCTATGTTTTCGAATAGCAAAACCCGACTTCTACATTTCCAAAAGAAGAAGATTCATTTGATTTCTCAGATCTCATTAACTTCTTGTCGTATTTTTACAGAGCGTTTTTTTATAGAATGTGGGTGACAAACTGACAAACGAGCACACAGTTCACCTTTTTTCATAGGATAAAGGTGAAAAACCAGCACACAGTCATCCTGATGGTAAGTGGATGTTGTGGCCCATAGATATCTACATTTAACCTCGATTAAGTATCAAAATGCAGATGCGTTGTCACCCTTGAGGACTAAGATGGAATGCCTCGACTCCAGTAAAACGGGTCTCCGGTTCTCAACACTCACCTTACGAAACACAGCAGCATTAAGCTGCTATTTTATGCTGCATTTCTGTCAGAGCGTGACCCTTCCCCGGTAGATCCAACCCATTCTTGCTACACCCATAATAGCTGCAGCGTGGCTCTACCACGTAAAAAGGCGCCGTTCTCTTTCGCAGTTTAAAGGCCATACGACGATTTTATATCGTATTTGGTATCTAACACAAGTTTACAAAAATATTTGATTCAAAGTCGAATTATTCTGTTATTAAAGAGGTATGCAGGGCTAGGTAGACTTATAGACTTATAGTCCCAATGATACCTAATCACAAAATCATTATTTATATAAAAAGAAAGTTGAAACCCAAATCCCACGCATGGCAAAAAAATCATTTACAAATCAAGGTATACCTATATACATTTATAATGTCAATATTTGTGTGCAAAGTCGCACAAAACTGATATTTATTTTAAATATAAATTGTATTTGAGAGGGCGATTTCTTATCCTAGGTTTTTATTTTTATCTGTCTTTATATTTTATCCATTATAATATTTAATTCAGTAGCGGCTCTAGTATTTACAATTTAAAACTTATGCGACAGTCGGTCCCCAGACGCAAATAAAACAAGCCGGTCTAAACAGGCCCCATTGTCCCTTGCAATAAAAGAGCGATGTGATATAACCTCCCATAGAACTGTATAGTGAGCTACTGTATATGCATGCTGATTTGTGCCAGTCTGCAAAAGGGAATAATAAATTATATACTAAGAAGTTTCGCGTACGGTTTACATGGAAAACTTGCAACGTGCGCCTGTTTTATTGGTACCTACTGTTTACATTCAATCGTTAATATTTTTTACTTAATTGTATAATTTATGTACTGTATGGACATGGACATGGACAGTGACGACCTGGTAAGATATGCAGGAAGTCGATGGATGCAGGTGGCTCAGGACCGTGCTTTGTGGCATTACTTGGGGGAGGCCTATGTTCAGCAGTGGACTTGTGAAGGGCTGTAATGATGATGATGATGATGATGATGATGTACTGTATACTAGCGGTGTAAGAATTTCCACTATCCCATATAATCCCGTGGGTGTCGTAAGAGGCGACCGACGGAGACAAATCAGGAGATGGGCAGCAGAGTCTTCCTTATACTCGTAACGAAAAACAATATTTTTAAACAATATATCCTCTTTAATTTACCTCCTTAAGGGTAGAACTGTCAAAATACTGAAACACGTGTCCTTAGTATCTCTTAGCGAAATTTTGTAGTACCAAAATATGTACAATCCATAATTATCATTATTTTGTTTTAAGTGCATTACCACCATGCAAGTTAGAAAATAATTTTCACCCTCATATTAACACTTTATGGTTAGATATTTAAAAGATCTTATTTCATTATTTTAATCTATAAGTAATTGTACCAATTTTCACCATTTAAATATGAAATAAAGTAAAATAAAAAGTGTCGCACAAACTGTAATAAAGGGTTGTTTTAAAAAATCGCTAAGTCCCAATTAATTTATTTTCTTCACATAGTACCTTTAGTAAGCTTCGAGTCAATCGCCCTGTAAAATAAAAAGTTTTATACAAACTGCGATACACTATTTCACTCCTTTATAGGTTTCACCCCTTTATAGGTTGAATTTTCCAAAATTGTTATTCGTGTTAGTGGGTGCCTACGTTATAAAAGGCAGAGCTACTTACTATTCAAATTACACATTTCTACGTCTAGCGGTTTGGGTTGTGCATTGATAGATGACTCACTCAGGACATCCTCTTTTCCATAATGCTAGCGATTCGCCCCGGATTTGTAAGGGTGATTTCGGGATTTTGATCACAGCGCCACCTACGTGGTCCAACAGAGTTTATAGACCATTCAGTCATCCAAATATCAAATAAACAAAAAATATATCATCTAAATTGATCGAGCTATTTTCGAGTTTTCGCGAGGCCAACGGACAACTATTGATTTTATATAAGAGAGATCTATAATCTATTATTATAGACTACGGACGTGTCACGCGGACGTACCTACTGTGTATGGATTTTTTTGTACTCCGGCTATAGTTGAAACATAATGTATAAGGTCTTATCAGATTACCACTTATGTATTTCTGGATGCACTCGTGACCACTTTCTTTTATAGCGACATTTAGTAATAGCTTTTCCAAACATAATATCAAATAGAATAACTTAAGTAGATGTAGCCTCTATTTGGTAGTTTTTATAAAAACGTTAGATATTCATCTGCATGGTGAATGCGAGCAAAGACAAATCTACTCACCCGTAATAATTTTATCAATGTACTTTATCTGTACGGGATTAAAACTCGCGACCTTGTAGCACCACCGCCTAACGATCAGCATCTGCGCTTTTCAGCTAAAAATATTCCATACACATAATAATGACGTATAAGTAAAAAATGTGTCCATTGTTCGTTTGTGGATGGAATAAGATAATCCGTCATCCCATCTCATTGGTATTTAAGAGGCAGGTAAGGGTGAAATGCTCATAATTTTTTTTGTCAAATGAAAATAATTTTCCGGGATCTATTCACTTTACTACATTTTATTTCGTATTAAAAGTACAAGGCACGTTAATTAAAAAGTTTAGCCGATTAAAAATCGAACAGAAACGTTATATAAACGAAGTTAATAAGCTTAAAATGTGTTCTTTCCATTTTTCAACATTTTACTTTGTAAAGTAAACAAATATCTCAGAACTCTTTAGAATAAAATAATGTTTTACAAATTTATCCGTTTATTTTTATTTGCTTGTTGAAAAAACTTGGCGGAAAATAAAATGAGCACGCAATGTAAAATGAAATTGAAGACGAAGCAGCGGCACTCTCTTTTTATTAATTCAAGAAAAATATATTGCACTGTAATTGAAATATCTAAATGGCATTTATGTTAGTATTTTTATAAAACAGAAATCTCCGTCTGTATTTATCGATTGATAGAATTTCTTGGAAAGATTTCTCTGCCTATTGAATGTATTTCTCAAAATAAAAGTGAGGTCAGAAATGTTTGAACCTAGACGTCTTACATTTTTATAAAATTATTTTTGCATCATTATTTCTGTACATTTAAAATTTATATTATAAAAATCTGCTTGTATCATTAACTTGATTCATCAACCAAGAGAGTGGTTACAGGTTAAAGTTAGTTTCATTGAAGCTAATTAAACAATAATCGTATAAGCAATTGTTTTAAAATTATACTGATTCCATTAGATGTATTTAATTTATTAATTTGCAATTTCAATTATTTTCTATAAGTACACTATAAATGCTGTGATAATCCTTTTTCTTCATCATCATTCCGAGACAGTCTACTCCACCAGACAAGGCAAGGCAAGAGCATAACCATGCGTGAGCGATAATGGCACCTGATAAGCGTAGCGACGCTTATCAGGTGGACGGGCGATCCCAGTGTCTGTTATCGTCATCATTACAGCCTATCACAAGTCCACTGCTGCAGTGTTTTATATCACACACCTTTCATGCTGTTCCAAGTCGCTATTCTGTATAACTCTTTCTATCGTAGGCCTTTCTCATAGTTGATGATAACAAATATTTTTAATTAATAGAATCAGGCTTTACTTTGCGGAAATCCATTATATTAAGGATTTTAAAAATCAATTTTAATAAAGTGATGTGTCTTACCTGTATTGAAAAGCACCCCCGCCCCATATAGCCCCCCCGAGCTCCCGTCACCACTAATCCAAGCACTACTTCCAACACCAGTACGCTAGGAAAGACACACCACAGTTTGTAACGACATGGCACGTGTTTGATATGATCTACTTAGTTCTATGAGACGCTAGGACTAGCTTGATGCTTTAATTTAATAAAAAAATCACTCAACATGAGCTTTAATATTTTATCTATCGCGTACCTTGTGAAAGAGTGAACATTATCAGATGGTGGAATTAGTAAAATGATGTCAATTTGTCTTCATTGTACGCCATCTGTTAACATGCAGTAGTGATACGGCAGGATAAAAATTCCTTTGTAGATATAGCTATAATTTGTATTACTCATCTGTCAACAGGTTTTGCTATAACAAAACAAACGGAATCCAGCTTTGATCCAATCCCGCAAAAACAGATCAGTCAAGTTATGGCTGCCTATAACAGCATTACAGAGGTGACGGTTCAGGGCGAATTGAACTTTGTTATTTGAGAAACAAAGACCCTTTTGAAAGGTACAATTAAGAAGGAAACCATGCTAAAGGAGCGAGAGAGTTTGGAGGGGTCGCCCGCTACTCCAGATGAATGTGCCGGCTGCGGGGGGAGGATACAGGACAGGTGAGATGATCTCTACGGTATAACCGATGTAAACATGGCGCAGAAATGCAATGAAGGACATCAACAGTAATTGAAGTTCAGCAATAAACTGATAGAGACAGTCGAGTCCGCATAGAAATGGAAACTTTAATAGTTGTTTTATAACATTAAAGGTTGTATTAATGCAGCCACTGCATTTAGAGACGCTGTTTTATGCATGCTTATATAATTTTATTACACTAGTATGTATGTAGTAGCATAACTGATTTGACCATAACGTTTGATACGTATCTAAAATGCTATTTGAAAGTTCAGCTTTAATTTCTTTAAGGGTGTAAAGAGTTCTCTTCATGTACATAATTAATTTTAAAATTACCGAAAGGGTTATAACAAACAGTTCTTTCTTACTCTCGTTACGTACCTAAATAAAAAGAACAACTAATAGAAGTTTAATTTTAATAATTTTTGGCCAAGAAATAATTATTACTGAATTATTATTAGATATTATTATTATAGAAGAGCGGACAAACGAGCATGTGTCTCCCCTGTTGGTAAGTAAACTACTGCCGCCCATAAACAACTGCAGGGGAATTGCAGGTGCATTTGCAGGCCTTTGAGAAAGGAGTAAGCTCTTTTCTTGAAGGTTCCTAAGTGGAATCGGTGCGCAAAAATCGCCAGTGATAACCAAAAAAACAGAGAGATTGTACGTGGGAGAAAACTTCTAGTAAAACGCACAGTTGTGGACCGCCAAGCATCCAAATGGTGTGGATGGTATCGTTATCAAATTAAACAACATATGAAACTCTTACGACATCTATTTGGCACGATCCTGATACAGCTCCTTCACTTCATTAAAATCTCTACGGTCAAAGTAACCCACTAATATAGAATTTATATCTCATGCTTCTTCTATTACAGTCAACTTTCACTACGATACAATAAGATAAAGCAGCCAAGAATAGGTGCAATCAGATGGTACTCTCATCTAAACGCCTATATTTCCATAATGGTATCAATAACTTTTCTCCCACCGAAGTGTGGAACTTCTATAGACCTTTTGGTCTTTGCATTCCAGCTACCTAGGATTGCGGTCCTTCTTTCTCATTTGATGAAATTTTAACATTTGAATTTGGACATTTCTGATGTCATACTCAAGCTCAAGCTCCTAATTATATACTTTTAAAAGGTTGATGTTTAATCATCTATTAGGGTGTATCACACCAATAGATCGATCGTTGATCGATGGCATCGATCGATGATCGTGAATCTATTAGTCGACGTCGATCGATAGTTTCTACCACATTGATCGACGGCGATAGAATGAATTAGTCGACGTCTATCGAGCTTCTTGATTATTCAAGAACCCAGTCCGCCCCACCGACCGCTATTCAAAATGCTGTCTAAATGAAATAAGATATCTTTGGTCTTAAAAACGGCCGCATCCAGAGTGTTCTGCGATGGGTCGCTATAATAATAATACGAGCAAGAGCAACAATAACGCTTCCTCTTCTGAATACATTTTAAAAGATACTAACGAAGAGCCCATAACCATATCGATTACTCGTCAATCGACGGCGATCGATGATTGAATAACGTTTTATCGACCAGTATCCATCGATCAGCTAAAGCTCCCACAATAATCGATCGACATCGATCGACGTCGATCAATGATATCGATTGACGATCGATCGATTGGTGTAGTAAAACACCATCAAAAACAACGCTTCTTAGATGAGTCATCTATGATATTGTTAATAGACGTATACGATGTATTCATAGCATTTTATATGTACTATTTATATATGTATATATAGTATTATAATTTTTACTTTGTCTTTAATTCTATATTTTTTATAAAATAAGGGTGACAAATCCACTTACCATCAGATGTGTTCACCTGATGGTAAGTGGATGCTGTGGACCATAAAAATCTACATTTATCATCTATTAAGATTCGAAATGCAGATGAGTTGTCACCCCTGAGGACTAAGTTGGGATGCCTCGTTTCCAGTAAAAAGGGTCTCTGGTTAGATACCAGGGCAGTGCGGAGGACTAATTGTTCCATGACACATTTAAAAATGAGAAGAGGCCTAGCAGTAGGTATTAAAGTGCTTTTCAATAACTTTATTTATTTATTTTTTGGTAGCATTGGCTGATGAACACTCACACAGTCCACCTGATGATAAGTGGATGTTGTGGCCCATAAAAATCTACATTTATCCTCTATTAAGATTTGAAATGCAGATGCGTTGTCACCCCTGTGGACTAAGTTGGGATGCCTCGTTTCCAGTAAAAAGGGTCTCTGGTTCTCTACACTCACCATACAAAACAAAGCAGCAATAGGCTGTTATTTTACGCTGGTATTCTGTGCGAGCGTTGTCCTACCTCGGTCGAGCCGACCCATTTGTATTACAACCATAATGTAGCTGATTGACTGGGTTGACTGGTAGGGAATACCTCAAGGCATTAAAGGCCGCCCTTTGTATATACTTTTGTCTTAATGAATGCAATAAAGAATAAATATGAAAATGAAAATAAAAATAAAAATGACTAAGATAAGAACTGACATACCATTTTGAATTGCCATCCTTATACTAATAAGACATTATTATCAATAGTTACTTACAAGTTGTTTTAGGATTGATTGCTTTATATTTTCAATTTTATATATATATATATATATATATATATATACATATAAGAAGCAGTTTTGAATTCTTATGGCATCCAATATAACTGTTGTCACGCATGTTCAATTCATCTTGTTTGGACTAGATGTATTTGTTATAAATGTTTTTAATAGTTTTCTTTTTTTAGATATTACCTGCTGGCAGTAGACCGCCAGTGGCACGGCTCTTGCCTACGCTGCTGCGAGTGTCGATTGCCACTTGACTCGGAACTGACTTGCTTTTCTCGAGATGGAAATATTTACTGCAAAGAAGACTACTATAGGTGAACATATACACACGTATTTATATCTATTATAAACCTATACGTTTGCTTTGATTAAAATTAAGTTAGATGCTAACTGATTTCATTATTAGCTAATGCGAAGAGTTTGCTGGCGAAAATAGATTGTAATTTGCGAATTATTGTGTCTTCAATATGATCTAGTAGCTTTGCGTTATTAAAATTTTAATAAAATCAATTAGTTTAAGGTATAAAAATACATAACTTGCTTTTATTGTTGTTATCACATTGAGATGCGTTGTGGACGTGGAAAATAATTTACGCACATAAAAACAGTATCGTAAAAATTTAGGATAATTGCACGAAAATTCAGTCAGTGGACATGTCAAGTGTCAACATAGCTGTATAATTAAAGCGGGCGGCGCGGCGACGCGGCGTTCAGTCCGTCACTCACCATCCAATACACTTGCGCGACTCTCACACCTGTCGAACGCACTAAATACATTATGCATCTGTTTTGTATCGCTAAACCGCAATTCAAAAAAAAAATATTCAGTTTTATTTTAAGTACATCTTTTTTCACACTATAATTATTAGATTTAGAATAGCTGCGGAATTGTCACATCTTCACTAGACAGTACTGTGAAAAATACAGTACATTACAGTGTTAGGAATTTATCATAGAAAGACAAGTATAAGTAAAATAAGGATCCTATGAATGTTAACTTCCGTGGGTGTTTTGGAGTAGAAAGATTCCGTCGCTTTGCTACAATTACAATTGGCAACAAAATCTCTAATGGTATTTTCCTTCGTCATAGATCCGACTACAAAGAAGCGACTAAATTGTGAATGAAAACTTAACAGCGAATTTAAGGCATATATATCTGTATTAAAATATTTATTTACATTAAAAATACAGTTAGTGATTTTATGCGATTAGCTTATTTGAAATAATAACCGAGGGTCAAATCTGATATAAGTTGATAAATATTTTTTGGATAGGTGGGGTTGTTTATATGCGGCATATGGCGTAATTATTACATCGTCACGGTAATATTATGAGTTGATCGACGTTAGGGTATGTCAAGTGGTAATCGGTAACAAAAACAGCGTACATTAAAAATTTTAGCTTCACCAAATCTAACGGCAAATTCTAAAAATTGCAATCAAAATCGTATTATTTGTGGTTTTTTTCTCCGTTACGTGAATATTAATTTTATAACAATCTCACATTTTCACGCGTTGTATCAAGATAACGTTTATTTTATTCGCAACGGATACTTGAAACAGGCTTTTTGTGTATCTTCCTTATAAATATAATCCAAGCGTAGATCTTTTCATGAATTTATTAATTAAAAAAGGATTCTGCAAATAATAGTAACTTAAAATTAGATATTAAATAAGTTTTTTGTGTTTATGTTTATCTTTTAAAAATAAATACGCCAACGTACAAGAGAAATTTAAAACGGTCCATTTTATTCACTTTGTGTTACACTATATTTTAGACATGAATTAAAATATAAATTCTTGAATAATAACTCTTGTATTGAATATACTTAAAATTGAATAATTTTAACAAAATATTAACACAAAGAACACGTCAGATTAGCACGAAATTATTTGCACAAAAAAATAACAATAAGCATTATAATATTTTATTGATAGAAACCAAAACGGGTTAACACTCCACACGTCGTTCTAAGTAACATAGTGCCTTCTTTCAGAATGTTCTGCGTGAAGCGTTGCGCCCGGTGTGGGAACGGTATCACAGCTAATGAGCTGGTAATGAGGGCCCGCGATATGGTCTACCACCTAACGTGCTTCACCTGCGTAGCGTGTGGTTCACTGTTATCCAAAGGCGACGTGTTTGGGATGAGAGACGGGCTTGTTTACTGCAGACCACATTACGACAGCGCCTGTATGGACGATTATTGCGAGGATGATGTAAACCGTGTCTATCGGTGAGACTTTTCATATTTAATTTTATTTAAGGCATACATGAATAATATGTTGTAAAAGAAATTATAATATCTAATAATACATACATAAAAATAAAATTGAAATGTCCGTCTGTAACGCCTAAATAACTGCTTTAGGTATATTAAGTTGAGGGGTTTTTAGCATGCCATTAGGACATGAAAATATTATTAAAATATTAATCTGTCTGACTGTCTAGGTTAATCTTTAGAAAAAACACATGTAAGCAGTAGTGGTTTGCCTGAAATTCCTACAGAAATACTCATATGCGATTTTCTCTAATACTATTTGATTGAGACAGTACACCCTGACATATACGTACAAGATTGCGCTAGTTTAAGAATATGAAATAAATAATAAATATAACATACAAAATCTTTACGTCATAGTCCGATAGGACGGTAAACCGACATGACCGCAGCACCGAGGCACGGGATTAAGACACCGTCGATTTCCTGATTTCGTGAAGCTACTAATAATTTCTTGACGGAAAATCTCAAATAACTCATTTTTCCCATCCCGGGGTTTGAACCCGGGATGCCTCATGATCAGCAGCGCTTTTACAACCACTAGACCAACGAGCCAGTCATTTTCCGAAAAATACTTAAATCGGAATTTTCTATAAACTAATATACTAAAACTCAAAAAGATCATAAACATTGAGAATACAGATATTTTTGGTGTATTGTTTTTAGTTAAAAAACCTACAGACAAAATTACAAGTCCGGGGCATAGTAGTCGTAGCACGAATGGGTCGGTTCGACCGGGGAAGGACCACGCTCTCACAGAATACCAGCGTGAAATAGTAGCATAATGCTGCTGTGTTTCGCAAGGTGGGTGTAGAGAACCGGAGACCCTTTTTGCTGGAATTGAGGCATTCCATCTTAGTCTTCACGGGTGACATCGAATCTGCATTTTGAATCGCATACGAGGATAGATGTAGATGTCTATGGGCCACAGTAACTACTTACCATCAGATGGACCGTGTGCTCGTTTTTCACCCTATCCTATAAAAAAAATCATCTATTAAATAATTTTTTTTTCTACAATTAAGACGACAAGCTGGCACACACTCGACCTGATAGTAAATTTAAATGTTAAGATTACTTTATTGTGTAATTAATGCTAGGGGCTTTCAAAAACGGTAAAAGTAAAGATAAATAAAATGATACCAGCGATCCGCCCCGGCTTCGCAAGGGATAATTCTGAATCCCGAGAACAGCGGCCTACCTACCGGCTTCAAATGTGAATATAAACTATCTAGGGACGCATTCAAACAGACACAAAAATTTTATCAAAATCGGTTAGACGGTTTCAAAGTCTAGAACGGACGTCGGACGTAGGTATAAAATATTAATATTTCCATTTATATTATTTTTAATAGATTTTCACTTAAACAGGTGTCAAGAAATGCATAGGGAGAGTGATTCTCCGTCACAGTTCTACAACGGAGGACCAAGTCATAAAGGACGCCCTAGAAAGAGGAAACTAGGTTCTCCTGAGGATTTGCAAGTTCAAACTATGAGAATGGCCAGCACAGCACTTGGTGAGTTCAAAAACATTATATTTCATTAAAGCTCACGCAGCTATTAAAGCGAAATGAAATTTTCCTTCCTGTGCGAATGTTAAATAAAAATAAGATCATCAATTTACATAAACTGTGACTGTTACTTAATACTCACTCGACTGAAAAGGTGCTTATAAAAATCTCATTTATTTTTCCTTAGTTTTATGCAAAGAAATTCAGTCTCCCCCGTACCCGCTTTCCGTTGAGAGTATTTCCTCCAACGTTCCGACTACGACCGTGATATAGAATACACGTAGAGTAGGTATCTTCTATTGTACCAGCTATTATCCGTGAAGGCGGCACGACTGTTTGAATTATACATATTTCATCGAACGCGACGGTCGCTTCAAATTTAGCAGAAACCTCAGAAGGGAAAGCGCGACGGGTTCCCCGCGCTGCGTCCCAGATGTCAATTCATCCCGGACCGACCGTAATCACGACTAATGAATAGGCGACGCATTGTCAAAATTGCTCTCGTCCCTTTCTCGCACAACGTAAGCTCATAAGGCTGAGCGGGAGGTGTGTAAGCAAGAGCGTTGGGTCCCCTGCCGGGGTCGGTCGTCTGGATTATTCTTTATAGCGTCGAAATGCGAGGCATTCATTGAGTTGGATTCATGTTGTGTGACTCCTCGACCCGATTAATCATGGCGCTGGACTGAATGGACCACGGGAGGACACTTCGTTATATATTCCAATCCACTGGAGAGTTTAAACGATTGGAGTCGCGTTAAAAACAATGACTGGCGCATCGTCTGCGGTTCGCTTGCAGTTCCAAATAATGATAACAAAAACGAAGTTAGCAATGCAAATATTGAAGGCTAGAAATTTATTTGACATAATTAGAGATAAGAATTTTAGTGCGTAGTTAGGTGTTGATGAAGTACTTTTCGTTAATAATTTATATTCTCTCTCATATAAAAATCAATTGCGTAATCTCGCAAAACTCGATAATGGCTGGACCGATTTAGATGAAACTTTTGTGTGTATTTGAGAGGTCCCTGGATGGAAGAACTCTGTTGGATCCGGTAGGTGGCGCTATTGTTGAGATCCAGGAATCAACCGTGCAAAGCAGGGAGGATCGCTAGTCATTTATAATAGCTTTCACAGTTACTTAGAATGTTAAAATGAGAGTTTAAACAGTTTTAAGATAGAGTTTATATATTCATAAGTCTTTTGTAAATAAAAATTAATCATCTCCAAATATCAAAAACTGTTATATATATTTGAAGTTCATTTTTCTTTATTTTTATTGAATGACAGAATTAGTAATATATATATATATATATATACATACATATATATATATATATATATATATATATATATATATATATATATATATATATATATATATATATATTGGGTTGACTGATAGAGAATGCCTCAAGGCATTAAGTTACTTTGTATTCTTTTGCTTTAAGGATACAATAAAGAATAAAAAATATATAATATATAGCTCATGTTGAGAAATTTCAAATATTCTCTAAAATAATTATCAATACGACAAACAATAGAACCAAAATGCGATTAAGTGGCTTCCCGCCAAGTGATACTCTTTGTTGGCATAACAACGCCTCTCGACCGCTGCGCGTGACGGTGATAATGCGAACTAAGGGCTCTTCAAATATTACGTGCCTTATCGGAAAGTGAAAAATCAAACACAATCCTTCAATACTATTATGCTTTTGTTTAGCTTCAATAAAAAATAATAAGTTTGAAATATTACATAATTTCCAAAACTTTCAACACTACGAAGTTGAAATACACTTTATGTTTAAAAAGGATATTTCTGAAGCTCTTAGCTGTGCAGGAAAATATTGGAAATATTCTTATTTTAATACGAACTACTAGAATGGTTAGTTGGATATTAGCTACTAAAATACACGTGCAACTTCAAGAAAAGAAAAAGAAGAAAAAAGAAACATGGCTACTGGTACGCTGGCACATTTGAGATATATATATATTATAGGGGCCGCAATTTTTAAAACAAAGTTAGCTCTATACTTAACTTTTAAATAATATTAGTAAAAATGTTAGAAAATCTGGTAATTAGTTACAATACAAAAAAAATACAATGAAACTTATTAAACTTATACCAAACGTTTCGGGCGCTTTACAACACCATGGTTACGGGGTTAAAAACTTCAAATGAACGCGATAAAATACATAAAATTAGTTTCTTTTAAATGTAAGAAAGGAAATCATTATGTTTAGGCCATTATCCACAATATTAGTGACATATTTATAAATATTATTAACCTCATCATCACTACAGGTTATAAAAAGTCCTCTAGAGAACATTGACCTCCCCCATAGATTAAGCCATAGTTTTGTTTGCCAAATTTTTCACGATTAGCAGGCTAATTACACGCAGGTTTGCAATCGCACTTATTTTTAAAATTTTGAGTTTTTATCAGCAAAACGCTACTATACTCGTAGGTAGTTAGTTTCTTGTTTAATTTCACTCTATCGATTCTTCTTACAACACCAACAGCATGATATGTTGCAGTGGATATTCTTATGCCGGCTATATAGATAGAGCAGTTAGTGTTATTTCCAATCATCGTTTCGTTTAAAATGTGTGCATTTTATACTAATTGCCACGCACTACGATGCGTAGCGTTACGTTTAGCGTGCGTTTATAATCTACATTGGAAATATACCGTGATTGTCCGGTAAGCGTACAGTGCTGAAATATCCGCAGGATTTGCCGTTCGGGTCCTAAATTCTATTGATCATGGACAATCATATTTTCAATTATATTAACGGCCAAATTTTCTAAACTGCTAGAGTGCCGTCCATGGTTAACATAATAGGCGTAAAGAATCTGACAAAAAATGACGCCGGGCGGTTTCGGCGCTTGTTTGTATTCGCAGTGCGCAGGGTTTACAAATCTATACGATGCAAAATATCCGTATGGCGCCGCACCGCAACAAATCTGTAGCACTCTACAGAATTTAAGTCCGTTGTGATTTTTTCCGCAGTGCGCGCACTTCTATGTGGCTTCTATACCTATCTACTAGGTTGATCAATAGTGATATGGAATAGGATTCCGAAAACTTATTAATGAGTTTTATGTTTTCGGAATCTTATTCCGAAAATTTATCAATGAGTTGTGTGAGTTCTATGTTTTTCGAATCTTAAATTCCTTATTAGCTAACGCCAGAAAAAACTAAATTAAAAACTGTACCTAATTTGTTTTTCAAACTTCACATTTAGCGGAAATTTGATTCGTATACAAAATGTAAAACTCGAACTTTGTGCGGTTATTAAATATTTCTGCCTGAAAAAAATTCCTATAGAAATTGTTTTTGAAGAACTGCAGTTTACTTTGGCAGACAATGCTTCGTCTTATTCTACAGTCGTGTACTGGTGCACTGAATTTAAACGTGCAGAACCGACTGCGACAATAACACTCGCCCCTTACGGCCTACGACGGCCGCTACGCAACAAAACGTTAAAAAATTACTGAAATTGTAAAGGTAGATCGACGTGTGACCATCCGTTAGTTAGCTGAGATTTTAAAGACTTCCTTAGGGATTATTCAGTTAATTATGACTCACATCTTAAAATTCTAAATAGTAGCCGCACGCTGGGTTTCTCCAATGTTAACAGACGTCTAAAAGAAAGCAAAAGTTTACATTTCTAAGCAAAATTTGGCAATAATTGAAGAATATCTAGATTATATTTGCGCTTGTTTCGTAACTTTGGATTAACCATGGGTATAAAATTTTGACCCTAAGATCGAAAACCAAAGCACGGTGTGGAGAAGGCCGTCTTCCCCGCCAGGCGAGAGATTGAATTTGTCTGTGTCCGCTGGAAAAGTAATGGCCTCGGTCTTCTGGGATGCGGAACGTAAATAATGGTCGGCTAAGAATATACTAAAACTGGAGATTATTACGTAACATTAAGAGCCCTCTTACATTTTGGGGTTACGCAAATTTATATATTTTACGCTCCGAGCCGCTTTATTTCATAATATCTATTCACTCGCTCGCACTATGATACTGTGAGTATAGGAACTAAACGATCTTGATCTTCCATTATACATGTTTTCTTGGGATGGAGTTCAGTGGATGAAAAGTTTTTGGTGTGTCATTTTTATGTTATCTAATTAATTTATTATAATCTATTTGATATATTTTTTATTATTTATGAACCTTAATGTTGAAATAAGTACACATAAATATTTTATTTGTTTCACAATAATCGATTGTTAATCGTTATTGGTATAAATAAATAAATAGTACGGTTGCAACCTGTTTTAATAAATAAAATAACCAACTGTAACTTATATTTTTAATCGGTATTTACAGTCAATTACCATATATTTTATTATAAAAATATTTGCCGCAACTTGAGCTTATCTCGAGTCAATAATTTCAGGTAGTACACTTTTTATAAAACGCTTGTAACTTGGGTAGCATATTCAAAATCCAAAATTTGTCATCTTTATAGATTTTTAGTACTTTTACTGCACAATGTGGGACCAGTCCATACGGCAAGCAGGCATTTTTATTATCAGTTATTATTTCTCCAGAGATAGGATATTTCTTTTTTTAAGCTTAATTACAACATTGATACTTGTATTTATTTTTTCCGATTCCAACTGGTAAGAAAGCTCAGCTACAATCAAAATAACTATAATGAGTTAACTATCTGGTTAAATAATAATGTGTGAACTTTAAACTATGTGAAATATACTATACGAAAATAAATACTTCCTACAATAAAAAACCGCGGGCGTAGTTGACGATGCTCTAGGACGCACAAAATAGCAGCGCCACGGTAATCGACGCACATTACGATAATATCGAAAAGAGACGGAGCGCGCGAAATAAGTAGACACAGGTGGAAATTCGAGAACCGCTCGCGCGGTAATGAATTCAGATGGTTGGCGCAGTGAAATATGTGGTATTTTTATTTAATTAATTAAAAAATAATCATAACAATTTAAAAAGAATATTGTGGTATAAATT